GAAAAAGGCTGATAGCCATACTGAAAGCAGGATTCCTTGTGGAATGCCAGGCCAGAGTACATAACCATTTAAAAAACACTAAAAATAGGGACGTTGCAATGCCAGGAGATATTGTAAGCGAACTTGAGGCTCCATGCATGTCTTCTAGTCAGGTTATGGATCATTTCAGCCTGCTCAGCCTAGAGGAAGTCAACAAATTGCTCCTAACTGTATGCCCTACCACTTGCTCTTTTGATCCATGCCCTTCATGGCTAATTAAAGCTGGCCATGAGGGATTTCGAGGAGGTGCCCTGTGGGAGATTGTCAACAAGTCCCCCTCAGAGGGGCTGTTCCCTGGGGCACTTAAGGAAGCAGTGGTCCGCCCTCTCTTGAAAAAGCCATCCTTGGACCTGGCCAAACTGGCAAAATATCAGGCAGTCTCCAACTTGCCATATTTGGGCAAGATGAGAGCGCTGTGGCCATTCAGTTACAGGGCTTCTTGGATGACGCTTCCATTTTAGACCCCTTCCAGTCTGGCTTTCACCCGGGTCACGGGATGGACACGGCACTGGTCACCCTCATGGATGACCTCCGGAGGCATCTGGATTGGGGCGGATCGGCAGTGCTGTTGCTGTTAGACCTGTCAGCAGCGTTCAACACCGTCGACCATCAGCTACTGATCCACTGCCTCGCCGACATTGGTGTTCAGGGGCTGGCATTACAGTGGCTTGGACCTTTTCTCCAAGGTCAGGGACAAAGAGTGGCACTGGGGGAACAACTATCCCAAAGGCACCCACTGGACTACCTCAAGAGGCAGCATTGTCCCCGATGCTCTTTAATATCTATATGTGCCCCCTTGCCCAGATTCCCGGAGGCACGGGCTGGGATGTCACCAGTATACAGATGACACCCAGCCATATCTGCTTTTTAGCAATCAATATGACCCCAAACCGGAAGACCTAGACCGGGCGGTACAAGCCATGGCTGGTTGGCTTAGGCTGAGTCGGCTGAAATTGAATCCAATGAAGACGGAGGTCCTGTGCCTGAGCCAGGGTGGCCTGAGGGTAGGGATCCCATTTCCGACATTCGATGGGGCTCCACTGGTGCCAGCGCTGGAGGTTAGGAGTCTGGGAGTGCTCCTGGATGCTTCCTTAACAATGGAGGCCCAGGTAACAGCCACTGCCAAATCAGCCTTTTATCACCTTTGGTTGATCAGGCAGTTGGTTCCCTTCCTCAGACGCAACAACTTGGCAACAGTGATCCACGTGATGGTCACCTCAAGATTGGACTACTGTAATGCTCTCTACATGGGGCTGCCCTTGTCTCAAATCCGGAAGCTTCAGCTGGTGCAAAATGCTGAGGCCAGGCTTCTGATGGGACTCTCAATTCAGGAGCACATCCAGCCTGTGCTAAAGGCTTTGCACTGGATGCCGATCGCATACCAAATTTGTTTCAAGGGGCTGGTTCTTATCTTTAAAGCACTTTATGGTCAGGGGCCAACGTACCTGAGGGACCGCCTTTCCCCACATGTTCCCCAGAGAGCACTGCGATCAGAGACCCAGAACCGATTGGTCCTCCCAAGTCCTAAGGAGGCCAGGCTGGTGACAACCAGGGCCAGGGCTTTCTTGGTGGTGACTCCATTCTGATGGAACAAGCTCCCAGAAGATATCAGGACCCTGCGGAACCTTTTGTAGCTCCACGGGGCCTGTAAAACGGAGTTCTTCCACCAGGCTTTTGGAGCCACCACCACCAAACATCATTAACAACAGCTGAAGGATAGAGAGCCCTGTTGTCCCTGGAATTTCCAATAACAGCCTGAGTTAGTCGTCTGAAGGACATCTAAAGAAGACCTAGGAACTGACTGTGTGAAGAGAGAACCAAATATGGCAGCCATCGTTAAATTAGTGACAAAACTGGCATTATGTTAGATAGCTAAATGGTTTTATAATTATTTTAATTGTTTTATTGTAATTTATGTGCCGATTTTTATGTAAGCCACCCTGAGTTGGCTTCGGCTGGGAGGGCAGGGTTGAAATTTGTTAAATAAATAACACTTGCATGCTGGGAGGTTTCTCCAGGACTACGAGCAGCCAAATAAGGGGCTTCAGATCTACCATGAGGTACCCAGGTCACATTTTGCACAAGCTGTGGCTTTGGAAAAGAAAATCTTCATGGTGGTTATTAAGAAGGACAAAGTAATTGTATATCATCAGCACCCAGACCTTAAGATTAATGCATTTAGGATACCTGGAAATGCATTTCTGGGAGAGTGATACCACCCAAGCTGAAGTTCATCAGGCCAGCAGCAGTTTGAGTACACTGGGGACAGCCTACAGAGCAAGGTCATGGCCAATTTAGTTAGACACGAAAACTTTTGTTTGAAAAACGTAAGAGGAAAGTCCTGCATTTAAGTGACTTGAGCTCACAATACAGCCCTCCGCTCTCCTGACTCTGGAGACGTAATATCCCATTATGTCATCTCTAGGCAGCGTGAGCAAAACTGAACGCACTCAATCATCTGGCTGCGTTTATTCTATATGATGAGGAACACAGGCCTTCTCCATAATAAATCAGAAAACTTGAAATTATGGTACGTCTCACACCATTAAAGAACAATGTATCATGCCCATCTAGAACTAGGAAGCGTCAATGGCAGAGAGTGGGAATGTTACCATCTGCTCAATGTTGATCCTAAACTTCCCGATAAAACCACTAGCCTGAGTTTGTGTACGTTTTATGCAAAAACCTTACAAATTAATTTTTGTCTGATTCAAGTTATATGAATAGGTAGGAAACTGTAGGTTGTAGTAATATGTGCAGCTCTCCAGCAAGGACAAAAGGTGCCTGCTTGATGAAGATGGTGCTTGAAACAAAGGTTTTCATTGTATGGGTCTTATTCTGCGTGTTTGTTTTATATAGAGAGCAGAGAGGCTGCTTGGGATAGCACTAACTGGTACTTTTGTCAATGCGACTAGGGTGAGTTGGCTAAGCTAGCTGTGAAAATGCTAATACAATACGTGATGAAAAGAATTGTGTCTTCGACATCAACAGCATCTTCACTGCTGTCTGCAGATAATGTTATTGTAGGTTCATTGTGGGCCTCAATCCTTCATGGTGAAAAGCTGCACAAGGACTATATACTCGTATCCTTGTAGTATGGTTCCAAAAACTGAAATGTTTAGAAGCCAGCAAAGAGACACAATTTTTTTATAGTAGCCACAAGCTTTGTGGTTCCTTGTAAAGTTCATGAAATCTGACTCAATTGAAGTTTATAAACACAGACAACTAGGGAGTAAACTCTATAGTGCATGCTAAAACATGCCATGGCGTGTCAATACTTTACAAAATGAGCAAAGCTGCTTTGGTAAGAGAGATAAAAGAAAAGGAAGCAGCATGGGAAGAGATTCTTTCAAGTCCCCTCCAATGCTTTCCAAATCAACCTGAATGATATTTTACTCTCTAAATATCCCCAAATCTTTAACACACACACACGCACACACACACACACAACCCCCCCCCCAAATATTAGGATACCATTATGCATATTAGTTTGCAGCATATGCTAATACTGCAAAAGGGGATTTGAAATATGGAAGTTAAAACTACATTATTCATTCACAGAGAGCTGAGTTTACTTTGGGGGACTTGCATCTTTGCTTATATATACCACAGGATGTAATTAACACAGGCCAGATTTCATGCATGCAGTTATAGAACATACAAGTATACTTTTCTTTCCAAATTGACACTAAATCAGACCATTCAGTAGCTCTGAGATCTAAGCCAATAATAATCATTAGGGTACTAAAACAGAACTAGCACTATTTACAGCAGACATACTTCATTATTCTAGCAGTTAATATGGCTTTGCAATTGGATTTGCACAAAAAACTACCCTGTACAATCATATGAAAACACAAAAGTGAACAAGTTGATGGTGTATGCCATGAAATACAGGAACTTTATATAAATAGCCCACTCAGTATGCACAGTGTCTCCCAGTATAGATGTTCCACTCCAAAAACACAACAGCCAAATTGGTCCGCTGCCTGGCAGTTTTAACCGGGATTTTCCTATGGCATTAGTACCCTCTAGTGGAAAAGACAGTATTCTACAAGCATACTTGTAGTATAATTTAATACAATGAAGTGAAAATGCTGATGACCTTTAAGAGCGGTGGGGATGGAATTTCCAGCAAGTGAAATTTGTCTTCTAGTGGTGAGAAAAGCTCCATCTATGAAAATGTCCTATTGTCCATGATTTTTTAAAATATAGGATTTCTACTACCACCGTCTCATATCTAGTAGTGTCCTAGTCACGATGTGCTGCCTCCAGTAAGCGTTAACTGTAGGCAGTAGTAGTAGTTTGGTAAAACTGTTGTGTAGCTTTAAGACTAGTTGCACCTGGGAATTGTGGTCCTCAGTTAGGGGTCCCAGCAGCTTCCCTCTGACTGGCTCATTAGGGTAATTTCCTGAGCTCAGAGGCCAAAGATAGGAGTTTTATCGCTCTTTTCCTGCTTCTTTTGTCTATCCGTACCTCGAAGGAGAAGGGGAATCTCATCTCTTTCTCACCACAGCCATAGAATTGACTTAGATCACAAAGATGCGACTACTCTACCCAGCTATCAGCCTGATTGTGAGTAAATGATCTTCTGAATGCATGTGGAGTTAAATAAAGATGATTTTAAGCCTTCGTCAGGGGTCGTGCGTTGACTCATACCTAGAAGGCGTTGGCTAGCTGAAGCTGATGCGGGACAGGACAGTGAGAAAGAGATGAGAACTAGTTAGCGTACAGCACTGCTACAAAACCAAGTGGGAGAAACTGTGCTTAGCAACACTATGCATACTTTGTGTCAATCCATGACTATTTTGTCAAATGGAAAAGTCTGTCAACTTTGCTATTTCCAGCTGTAAACATCTGCCAAAATACCACCTAACCGATCTCTCTCTATTCTTTTTAAATACTCCAAGGTCACTCAAAATGTACCAAATCTACACACACTGGCTTTTTTTTGTAGCAAACATTTTTATTACTGAAATACCCACCCATTATTTGTTTAAATCTGTACATGCATTTCTTCCACTTGGAAGAGGTTCCTAAAAAACAAAACAAAAAATGGGGGGGGGGATGAAGGAGCTCCACTTTTCTTCTGTGGAGAGCTAAATCAAAACATGAGAACAAGAATCATAGAACAAACAGCTTATCAAGGAAGCGGCTTTTCAGTTGAAGCACAAGAGGTGAATATAAAAACTGAGCTTTACAACCAATTCAAAAGTTGAAAAAACAGGGTAAAAGAAACTTACACAAGAAATCATGCCAGGAATTACAGCATTCAGATTTGCTGTTTACCCCTTTACAAGCCTCATTGCTAACCAGAACCTTTATACAGAGGTATTACAACAACCATGGATGAAAAAACATTCTCCTTGGATTATTCATCATTGTCTCTTACTGCACAGAACTCTAGCCTGATACTCAAAGCAAAACTATAACCATCTAATCTCCCTTATGTGTGCATCATCACCAGTCTTTCTTGAACAGAAAAAAATCAATTTCTTTCATGTCTTCTAGGATACACAACATACTTTCACATGGATGGAAAATTTAAGCGAGCTACCTATCAAAATCCCTCTTCAAGGTTATATTTTTTTATATGTTAAGGCCTTTATTTAGATACTTGTCCCATTAGGCTTTCTATGCTACAGAGCCTCTTTGGATATTGAATTTTCAGATGTACTTGGTGCTCCTCCTCAATTCAGAGAAAGAACACCAATAACGTATAGACCCAGTAAGCCATGTAATCAGAGAGGCTAAGGACTTGGCATAGGGAAGTACATGAACAACCTTTGTCCATTTTCTGTAAGTGATTTACCAGGTTGCTCTGAAATTGAAACATTGTACCATGTGGCCAAATAAACACTGTTGCTCAGAATGTAATCATCACATGCACCTGTGACTTTCATCTACTTCTCAACTTTCCTTCAAGGAATTCCATCGCCCTCCATGCTCTCACCCCTAGGACTGTATCATGAGTATGACTATGGGGTGTCGACACTTCCTCCAGTATAGAAACCCACAGAGCAAGTTCCTGCTGCGCACACACACACCGTGGTTCATATGGCAATCTTGGCAACTCCAGGGTCACATGGCACCAGTGGGAAGGAGTCACAGCTATATACTATGTATGATGTATGTCATGATCAGTACAGTGGTCTCTCTCTCACTTGCCTGCCCAGCCGACCCACGGTTCAAATGATCCAGGAATTCCAGATACCAATTACATCACCAAGGCAAACTTTAAAACAAGAACTGTGGAAGATTCATATTGGAAAAATAGATATAATCTTAATAATCACCACTATAAAAGTTGGCAACCCAAGAACATATTCCACTGAGCCTGTGCGACTCACCCATGCTATGTGCACAGCCTCAAAAGTACCTCCAAGTTAACATGATCCAGTAAGATAAAGAAGATCGCAGAGAAAAGACATACCAAGTCCCTTCCTCCCCACGTCCCACCCCCTCATCCAGAGGGGAACTTTGGTGAAATAATAAGCTTGTGGCTGGACCAACTTGGAGCTGGTGATTGTCGCCAACCAAGATTGAACAATAAAGAAAAAGGTGCTATTCTGGGGAAGACACAGACATCTGTGCAACATGAGATTCTAGAGAAAATTCAGTAGGTTTGAGGAAGCAGAGAAAGGCAGAGGTGTCAGATCGATTAGAGAAAAGATGTGCCTTTCTACAGCATGTGTGTTTGAAAAAAGACACACTTGTGTGCCACCATGGTTATCAAGGCCCTGAAGATTCTTCCTATTTGAAGAATGCAAGGATGGTTATGTACATACAGCATTGGTAGCCAGTGGCTGCAGGACGGGCTGCTCTAAGTCTAATCACAATGGGTCAAAACATAGATAAAAATAAAGGACTGTCTAGCACAGTGCTGACAGTAAAGGTGCAGGGCATCATATGAGTAGAGGAAGACTTAAGTGGCCTGCTTCATGGAAGAACAGTCAAGAGATAGGAGGGGGGCTGCCCAAGCCCTAGTCCCTCAAAGAATTCACAGCTGCAATGCAGCCTAAGAGATCCACAGCAATGTTGCATGTCACAGGCGGAATGCTAAGTGATGAAGACAGTCTGGGTACATGGAGAGAAATGGTCCATTTGCTCTGGGGCAATTCCTGAGGCCAGCAGTCTCAGTACTTGGGCACTTTGGTGTAGTCTTCAGTATGTATGTTCTTGCAGAGGCAGATGGAAAGCACCATTCCCAGCAGCTACAAGAGAGAAAGAAAAGTTAGAAGGACAACCAGTGACAAATATATTGAGGGAGGGAAGGAGGTGAATACCAAGATCATCATGCTTGTTTTTTAAAATCAAGTTTCTGCTCAAAACCCACCCTTTTGGGAAAGCCTTTCTTTTCATCCATGCCAAAACTACAGCAGTGCCACGATTCCATTAAAGTGCATTTGCCAAATTTATCTCCTATTTCATTTGCATCTCCCCACTCTGTGTTCCCAGCTGTCAAAATCCTAGATTGTAGGTGATTCAGAGCAGGTCCCATCGTTAGCTTGCTACTCTCTAAAATCACTTGTACATTGACAGTACTACATAAACAACCTTTGCACATCTGAGAGTCCCACGGAAGGAAGGAGAGATAATCTCACTAAAAGTTGGACTTGGACCTGGATCCAAATCCCATTCGCTGAAATTGATCCATGACGACTGTGGTGTTCTTCAGTTTCTTCATTTGCAATTTCCCCTTTATTTGCTTTTAATGGAAACACCCATTGTAGCAGAGCATTGCACTGCAGTGAAGCCTCTCAAACGAGTTCTTAAAAAATTAAGCCACAATAAATTAGGCATGACTAGGTTCTTAACTGCTTTATTAAACTATTTTTATCCAGTTACATTTTCCAGCTGGGGGGGGGGGCAAGAAAAGTGTTATTTATACCCATTAGGTACAAAATTTCAGCAAGTGTTTTGAACAACCAACAAGCAATTCAGAGAGCGATGCTACAGGATGGGGAGACATCAAAATATGCATTTATATTCCAGCAGAGTTACAGAACTTTGGACATACCTACTTAGGCCATTTTTCAGAGGGCAGGGTGAATCCATTCTCACAAGCCACCTAGTGCCCATACAAATATGAGGGGACCATATGGCCAGGATAAGCATTGTGATGAGCACTGCATACCACATTGCTCTAGCATTAGACTACATGAAATAGGAACTCTGATTACTCTTCTGGAATGGGAGAAAAGTTGCTTTACCTCAATCACAGCGACTCCTGCGGAGACTCCAAGAATGATGCCCAGGTTCTCTTGCACCCAGCTCTCCACACCTTCCATGCACCCCTGAAGAAGAATTAACAAGTGTTTACTGTTATGGAGGTAAAAATCTCCAGAAGAAGAAACAGAACTTGAATTCAAACCTTTCACTATCAACAAGGTTTAGTTATTTCTGATGGATTGTGACCAACCACTGACCTGTACAATACAGGGATTCTATTCCTTTCTTTCTGCCTTGAAATTCTATGCCAAGAAAAAGTTATGCTAACACCACACTCAGTTTATTAGGATACATTAAAAGGCCCATGTACTTCAGCATTCTATTTTACACAGGGAAGAGTTTGATACCTCTGGGAAGCTCAGAAATATGGGATGAAGGCAATGTACATTCCTGGTCACCTCTTCCCAGGATCTGGCCCACAGAAATAAAGTGCTTCTAAGTACAGAGGTTCTATTTAGTTACTATTCAGTGAGATCTACAATAAGAGTGAGTGATTATCATGCAAATTTGCTTAATTTCCATATTGTAAACCCTGGGGAATATCCAAATAAAATAAAAACATGCAAAAGAACAGATCATGTCAGTTTAAACAAACAAAGTCTGGAAAAGTTCCACTTGGGCTCTGAATACACACAAAATAATGAACCGAGAAACATACTCACTGGCTTGTTAACTGGCCAATCAGCAAATGTTGCATTGGGGTTAGAAGCAATGTCCAAATTACAGAAGCCCTCATAAGGCAGAGAGTCCATTGTGACATTTTTACACGAGCAAGGGTACGAAGTCTGATTTCTTTCCAAGAGGATTGTGTTCTGTGTCCAGTTTTCAGGCCCAGTCCAGCCACAGCAAGAAAGCTAAATGTAAAGAGAAATAATCATCAGATTCTCCATGTGGCCGAATCTGTGGATTGGCGGCACTTATTTCTAACTAAGAAAAGCCCCAGGTTTGCAGAAAAAGTTTAAGTCTAAAAAAATACAGTGCCTGTAGTGAGAGGACCCTTTCCATAGCTGTTTTGGCCTTTGAGAGAGGAGTTATCAGTGCCAGGCCTAACAGCACCCTTCAGGCAAATTCATACCTCACAAGTTCCACAACTCACCCAGAGAAAGCAGCTCAAGATAGTTCAAAAGCAGCCACCCCACAAAAGCCAGTGTGGTGAAGTGGTTAGAGTTACAGTATAGGACCTGGGAGACCTTGGTTGGAATCACCAGTCTGCCATGGAAACTCACTGGGTCACCTTGTGCCAATTACACAATCACAGCCTAACCTACGTCACAGGGTTGCTGAGAGGATAGAGGAGAAGAAGAATGATGTATGCTGCTTTGTACCCCTCTTGTGGAGAAAGAGAGAGTATAAATGAAGTACATACATATAGCTGAAGTTGGGAGGGAGAGAAAAAATGTTGGTTGGTTGGTGGGTCGGAAGAAGAGAACTGTAAGCATTAGGAATCCCAATAAGATGTATTCTGAAATGCAATATTTTATGTTTCCATACATTACTGTTCTTATACCTCAAAAGCTTTGTTGCAGCAGTGTGCTCACTCCTAAAACATTTCTGCATAGTTACTCTAAACACATGTCATAAAATCCAATACTGCAGAACTCTAGACCAGTATGCACTGGAAGGAGCTCTCACGACAAAAACTATTTTCTTTTCTAAATTAGTATTACAAGACAAAATACTTCAGGTGTGACCAACTCTCCTATATTTGTGCTCTGTATAGTAAATGCAACATATGTATTCACTGTCTATATTTTAAAAATAAAATGCACCAAACAGGCCATTCATGGATTTGACAAAGTCAGTTCTAGTGTGTGGAAATGGGACAAAAAGCTTGTTGGCATTTGAGAAGCTAGTGATCTTTTTTCATGTACATAACAGACTCCCAAAATGAGTTATTGGTGCCCACATGCCAAGACCTTACATACATTAATAGAAGCTGCAGGGAGCAACTGACTGTGGAAAGAGGTTCTTGTCAGTACACCAGTGCCATGAAGCAGCTTAAGAATCGACTGCACCTCATGTTAGAACAAATGTACAGCCTCAAAAAAAGAAAAAAGAAAAAAAGAAAAATCCTAGGAGAGGATTCCATTTGTCACACACAAATGGAACATCAAGAATTTCACTCTCTTTTCATGACATGTGGTTCCACACCAGTCTGTTGCTGTTATAATGTCATAATGTTGGCTCCATCTCTCATCTCTCCTTATGTATAATTCTGTTTTTGAGTTGCAACATTCCATGCACTCCCTCAGCCATTGGCCCATCAGCCGCCACTCAAGAGTACTCGCGTGCCATTGACCAGGTGCTGGGTCTGCTCCTCTTCCCCGCCCACTCCCCCTTCAGCCCTGCCAGAATTACTGGCAAACGGCTTTCTCTCTTGACGAAGACACTTTTCATACTTGCCCCCTGTGTGGGACTAACTTTCCCCTCTGGCTGTTGGTAGGTGTCACGAAATGGCAGTTACCTGTGTTTGTAAGATGGCTGTGGTTCTTTGTTTAAAATGCTCCCCCATAAGGTTTAATTGAGCTGTAGTTCCAGAGAGGGGCCTGCAGGGGTATCACTCACTGGGTTGAATGGGGCTTCCTCATCTGCTGGCCTACAGTTCCCAGCTGCCCCAAGGCCAAAAAGTGCAGGAAAATAGGGACTGACCCAACGGGCGAGGCAGCATCAATATAGACTGCAGCCCATCCAGGAAGGAGGCAGCAGAAATTCAGCCATTCCGAAGTCGGCTGGACTGGGGAATGAATGGAAGTTTCCCTGCTCTCTTGGGTACGAGAAAGAGAGGCTGAAGTACAGCCACAGGCCGGTCCAAGGAGAGATCCTGCCCTGAACCCACAACTTCCAGAGATAGACAGTACTGTGT